CACCCCCTCCTATAATATGATAGTTTCAGATAATGTTAATTATTTGTAGCAGTATTAGCACTGCTTCTAAAAAGCAGTTATTTTACAAACAAAATGAAGCGTAAATGGAGCCATTCCAGCATGGATGAAAACCCCATTTAAAGCTTCATTTCCCAGCCTGATATCTCGGAGGCAGCCTGTGTTTGATGAGAGCCTTACAGCGGGTAGGCTGTTTGAGGGACAGCTATCTGTGCCAGGACAACGCTGTTTTTATTTTTATTTCCCACCAGCTTGGAGAGTTTGCACTTCCTGAAATCCATCTTGATGGGACAACATCAATCAAATCAGTTTCTTTATAGCACAGGGAATGGGAGCCTTGTCAGAAGGTCAGGATTTCTGTGCCAGCAGGTTTGATTAAAACATTGGGAAGACACGAGGGAGAGGGCAAGTTTGTCTCACCTGTGTGACACCTTCTTGGTGAGCTACAGTTCATTGATAAACTAGTTTAGTTCAGTAGGTCAGTGAAATGACACCGACAGAAAATTTGATCGCATGCTTACAACAGGACATTTTCCTTCTTTGTTGCAGGGGAGTTGGACTAGATGACCTTTAAGGTCCTTCCAACTCACAGCTTCAAGCTGTGACCAGTGCTTTTTCCACAATCCAGGACTTGGACTAAACAAAGCAGCTCAGCTCTGTGAGCTCTTAACTGCTCGTGCTCCCTTTCTGAGAAAAAATTAGGTATATAAATGAACATTTACCAGTGTAGGGAATGAAACCCTCAGATGTTCCCTAAAACCAGGCCTGGGCAGAGGGATGAGTAATGAGGAATTAAAATCCAGAATGTGAACATGAGAAAGGATCTGAATGTGACTGTCTTTAATACATATGGAAGCCTACAACCAGGTTTCCTTTTGAGGAGCCAAGGGTTACTGATTCTTCAGGACACGCTTCCCTTGCTAGGAGTACAGCATTTCACAGTGATATGGATGCTGTGGAATGTTGTTCTGTTCTGACAGCCTTCCAGTATCAGCCACTGAGTAAATCTTCATAAACTAGGGAGAAAATGGAAAAGTAATATCCTTGTCTTAGGAGCTAACTTAATCAAATCTGTACGTTTGAGTAATATGCATGGTATATATTACTCTCTTCTTACTAATAGCAAATGTGACACTAACAGATCTCCTGCAAAGCTGTTAGTCGTTGGTAAATATTTACTTAGCAGCATCATCTTATTTCTTTTTGCATGAATCATTTGTTCTTAATATCATCCTATTATTATTCTTATTGCCCGATCGGTCCCCTAAATTGCCAACACTGTCTCTGTTCCCTGTCAGACACCAGCTCAGCAGTTGACTTCCTGACACATTGTTTTGGGTGATAAAACATTGGTTCTAGAAGCCCTGAAGGCAGTAGATGGTGAACATTTTCTGTAACTTCCAAATATGACAAAAAAATTAGTAATATAATATTCCCTTAGGAAAGAGTAAACAAAAAAAAAAATTGGCTTATTCTCTCAGACACTCTAAAGCAGAGGCAATGAGAAGTGAAGTTATTCAACAAATGCCTGGACCAAACTGACTATAATTCTTTGGAGAAATGTGGGTGTATCTCTGCTGGGAAAGTGAAAATTAAAGATGAGTACATTGGGTTCAGAAAAGCTCAAGGTCTCTTTTTTTTTCAAACAACAAGTCACGCATCCATGACCTAACCCAGCAGGATGCTGTTTGCTTCTGTCTCTCTGCTGATGACACCCGGCTCTGTCTCGAGCTGGCTCGGCCGCTCAGGAAGCTGTTTTGGGTGGCAGAAAAAATGAACCCGAGCCTTGGATGCTCTGGGGAGGCCAGTGTGCTGCTGTGGGATTTACAGACATGGGCTGTGCTCCCAGTGTGAGACAGCCTGACACCAAGCCCACCACTGTAATTCCCTGGCCTTACATATTCCCCAGAATATATCTTAGTTATCATACCTGGCTCCTTTCCTAGGACTGAGTCCAAAACTGCTTCTGATCTTGACTGCTGGAGTATTTGTGTAAACACAGCATGCTGTACACCCTCCAAGCACAGTCCCCAGCGAGTCGGCTGCGGTTCTCCCAGACAACAGCTTGATGTTAAGATCCCCCATTATCAATGGTTTGACTTTTAGAAAGCTGTCTACATAAACAAAGCCTATTTATCCTGTGATTGTGCCCTGGAGACTGTCCTACAATCACTTTCATTTCCCCTTCTGCTTTCCAAGGCAGTTCCTGTCCCCGCGGCGCCAGGAGTTCGGTGTGGATCCGCTCCCAGCTGCGTGCCTGCATGGTGTGGTGTGGCATGGCGTGATGGGGAGGCTTGGTCACTCGGTTCCCTCAGCTAAATAATGAATGTTCTGTCTGAAAATGGTTGAGAGAGACTCCTGACCCCTCAAAAAACTACAGAAGAGTGGCTCAATAAGTGGGAATATGAGGGAAATTAAAATTTAATAGAAATTAACTGTGAAGATAATGAACAAACAAGCTTTCGTTCTTAAAAACATACAGCAAACACAATTTCAAGACCTTTGGTTGTTGATAACAGAAACCCATGTTTCCTTGCTAACCGTCCCTCAGACAAACTCTTCTTTTTTGATCTTGATTGTCCTATAACAAATGACATTCAGGGAACCGCCAGCACATTCCATGAAAACTTTTGCTTATGCAAAAGGAGAAATTTTAGTGAAAGAACATTGCAATGAGTTTACTCTCTTCTTGATTATCGCATTCTCTTCCATCTTACCAAAGAATTGATGCCTTTTACAGTGCATAGGGAATATACTGACATGGTTGAGCATCTTGCATGCTTTGCCCAGTGACTGACGGCACTGGATCAAGTGATGGAAGTGGAAGTGAGAGCCCATTTGTGCCCAAGAGTGCCCCCTTTTTGAGTTTTTTAATCTATTGCTTGTTTACATGGGAAAATCAGGCAAATTAACCTGTGCTAATTAAGGACTTGAACTTAAAGTGGATTCGTCAAACTGCGTTCAGCCTCTGTGTGAACAGAATTAGAGACCTTTCTTTGTTTTGTTGCGATTTGCCTCCAAAATGCACTAAGATAAACCAAATTAAGATCGTTTGTTGCTGTTGTTCCAAAGAAATATGTGATGTGTGCTCATTCGTTTTAAAAGTTCTTTAATTAATTTTGCAGAGAATGTCCCTGTGCAGACACATCAACATTCCTAATAATATTTGGCTGGAATGCAAGATAATAGCGAAGTCCAGGCTCAAATAAAAGGGATGAATCATCTCTAAATCACATGTTAAGATATAATAGGATAAAGGACAATTGTTTTGCTGGAGAGAAACTTCTATGCACTGCCCAGCCGAAGGGTCTGCCACAGCTCTCACCCAGCAAATTCGCTGGCGGCAGTGTTCGATTTGTGAGGATTTGTCACTCAGGACTCTGAAAATGAGCACAATATTGAATCAGACCTGACCCAGGGACATGTGAGGGCTCAGTCCCCACCAAGCTGTGAGGTACCAAGTGCTGTTTTGGAGCTGCGTCCCACATCCCACATCCTTTGGTCCATCGTCAGAACCATGGGGTCATGCAATGCTCCCATGCACACAGCTCTAAAACCAGGGGCGCTCTGCAAAAGCCCAGAATGTTACTTCATCTTTGCATTAGTACATCCCCAGATAGAAGCAGTGAACTTTATAGTGGAGGTGACTCCCTCTGCCAGATAAAAAAATAAAAAGCTGAAATGCCTACCCATTACTTAAGCACACACGGACCCATTTTCATAGCCTTCATCTCCTCTGCCCCTGGAAAAACAGCTCCTTGGAAATTATAGTAATTGTTTTATTCTCTTTGATCTCCACTAATAAAGCTATGGACTATCACTCAGCAGGAGCTGTTCCTCTTAGTTAGGATCTTTCCAACTGTACTTACATTAGGAAGGCTCTGGGGAAATTTCAGTAAATGCACTTGAAAAGAGCTCTGCAAAACTGCTTAGACTTTCTGTGAAAAATATTTCCCCTGCATTTGTTCACTGGCTGCTCAGAACACTTCTCAGCTTGTTTGTTTTTCCCTTTATTGCAGTTGTTGTTGGACTGAGGTGAAAGCTAGAGGAGAGAGTTGTGACTCCGTGTCAAGAGATCTTACGGCAGCCAAAGAGCAGAGAGAAAATTTCTGCATCCCAGACAAGTCACTGTGGAAATCACACTTGAGAAATGTAGCTCTTGCTCTGCATATTTTACTGTCCAACCTCAGAAGGGAAGACGGAGGAGTGATGAACGTGTACTGATCCTCCAGCAGGAAACCCTTCATTTCTAAGGTGTAACATAAGAGCCTCCAGCACCCGCAACCACATCCCATTAGAGAAAATACCATTTAGTTCCCTATGCAGGCAGCATGGGCCTGACTTAAAAGTAGCACGGCACCTCACCTTCATGGATATCAGTGTAAATTGAGGCTCCTACATTTGAAAGTCCCATTGCACAGTTTTATGCATTCAAATGGTTGGGACTGTTGCCCTTTGGTTGTGGTGCCCTGCAAGGACTGTGGTGCACTGGCAAGGACTGGGAAAGCTGGTGGGTCAGCACATTATTTCTCCATGTTATGGCTTGTGAGGTGAACTGGGAAGGTGCTAGATTTTGTGTTTAGTGCTCAGGCTTTAAGTACCACAGCCATAACTATGGGTCAGCTTGGTTGGTCAGCGAGGCAGGGACCCACACAGGCAGCAGCAAGTGGTTCCTGGCAGGCAGAGTTTCCATAGGGCTGGTGAATATATGGACTGCAGGAAGATGCAAAGACAAACCCAACCCTTTGAAATGATTCTGCATTTCAAGTGAAGCAAGCACGAGACTCCACACATTGGGGCACCTGTATGGGAACTGCTGAATCATGGCCTGAAACTCTGATTGAGCACTTGAGGCAAGCAATAATTCAGCCCTGGGAGCACAGGTGAAGAAAGTTCTCCTGTGCTACTGGAAGGGGTGGAGCGTGGATGCAGCTCTCGTAAGAGCTGACGAGGGAAGGATCTCTTTTAGAGATTGCTCCTCTTGGAGTTTTCTCAGTGAGCCCAGGACAAAGGTAAACTTTCCATCCATTCTTCCTTAGTGTGATAACCTTTTCAGCCTAACTATTCTGTATATTTCTTAATTATAACATTTGTATATTCACTGATTGCACAGATGCCCTTCCGCTGCTTTTTGCTGTTGGAGATGAGGGTGGCAGTGGCCTTCACACCAAGCATGGAAGGTCCAATCTGTATTCATGTACGTGCCTGTTGCATAATGAGCATTTGAAAACTAGAGTTATTGCATCAGCTGCTCTCTTGTTGTTTCTTTTTCCCTCCAGCTAGAGACTCTAAAGCTCAGAGGACCAACTGCATAGCCCTACAGTTGTATTTACTGCACCTGGCACCCTGCCACAGGCACAGGGAGCGTGGTGCATTCTTCTGAGTGATGGAGAAACGTCACCCCTGGTGAAGGCAGAGAGCAGGACTAGTAAGGAATAAAAAGCCCCTTCCTTTAAACTAGTTTTAATCTTTCTATGGCTGGAAATGGAACATCAGTAATTAAAGCTTAACTGAAAGAGATCAGAAAGCTTTTGAAGTTAATAAAACCTGTAATGCGCACCAAGGATGATTGTATTTAAAGCACATGCAGGCTGAAGTCACTGACAGGACTTGGAACCTGTGCTTTCCCCATAGCAGTGTGAGGTTAGGTTCCTCTGCTGTAATTCCTGTCCCATCAGGTGACACGAGTGTGATCCCTAGCTCAATCACTCACCTGGGCTGTGTGTTCTCTTCTGCTTTGGTCAGGTGGCAGTGGTTTGGTCAGCTGTTTTCTAATGATGGGACCATCAGGGCAGGAGGTGCTTCCAGCATCTCAAGCATCTCAAGCTGAGTTAATCAACAATGCTGAAAGAAATAAAGATGGAGAATTTTCCCTCTGCAATGCTTCAGCATGTGCTCAGGGCACTGCCCTGCATGTAGCATAGCTCTGGGCTCTCAGCAATTTAGCAAAGGCATTTCTTTTCCAATTTAAATAACTTCTGGACAGAATTAATGCTCTTTTCTCATCTCCAGGGCTGACATTTGGGAGAGGGAAGAGAGAGAGAGAGAGAAAGGTTCCACCTCTCCAGTGATACTCCCAGGAAGCCAGTGAGAGCTGAGATTTCATCTGCATGGAAATTACGGTAGAGAAAGGGCCAGGAGCAGCCACCGGGTCTGGCTGTGCTCCATTGGGGAGAGGCTGGAAAGAAGAGGATGCTTTAGCCCTTGACTGCCACTTATTCCAGCACTGGAGAAAATAAAAATAAAAATGCTGAAACGATTAATAAAAAAAAATATACTAAACCATGGCAGAAGACTGCCTGGGAGGTCGGGCTTTTTGTATTAACTCAGCAGATCATTTATTTATTTATTTATTTGTGCTGCCAATGAGCTTTCTTTAAAGGTCACTTTTTTCAACATCTGTGCTGGGAAAATGCTTTTAAGTTTCAGCTGCTTTGTGTGTGTGCATTTTTCTAAGCCTTGAGTTTACTTATTGGAAAATGGTCTTGGATCATGTCGGAGTTAGCAATTGGGTTTTAGTTGTCAAGTGCATGCAAGAAAGGCACTTTAACTCTTTGTGTGCCCAATTTATCTTTTTCATTGGATTCTCAACACTGTGCCTCTAGACTTCAGCCTGCCACCCAAACCCTGCCTGCTGCACCACCTTTCCTTCCTCTTGCCAACCATCCTCTGCCTGCATCTGGGACCCCGATACTCTTTGTTTCTTCTTCTGTCTCTGCCTTGGCATACAGAAGTGTTACATGGACTCTCTTATCTTGTGCTTGATTGCTGATGAGCTGCTGTGTCTGCCTCCTGCAATTGCCTCTGCTCTGGGGGAGCCTGCGTGGTTGAAGGAGAGGTCTGCAGCCTCATGTTGTGCTCCTGCCTGCAGTCAGTCCATAGCTTATGAGTGTTCATGGGCAAGGTAAAGCCTTACAAAATTTGATAGCAAATCCAAACTGTTATTACATCCTTTGATATCATAGTATTTTGGAGGAAGAATGCTGCCAAACAACACCAAGAGGAGAACATTCTTGTAGGGATGCAGCAACTCAGTTTGCAGCCTTAAATCCTTATTAGGGATTAGCTCTCTGGCCAAAACCTGTTCCCTGAGGATTGTTAAGAGAAATACATTTTCAAAGGGCGCCCAAGAAATCTCATATTATTCAAATTTTGTCCACTCTCAGCCAAAACTTAAAGCAGGAGTTATCATGAGATGTGTGGGTTTTAGAGGTGCTTAGGAAGATGCAGAGCTGAAGCTCACAGGGAATGCACCTGGTAGTCTTTTCCCAGGGCATCATCGGTTGTCCCAAACCTATTAGCTTGGTTCCCCAAAACCAATTTTCTTTGGAGGAGCTCTGGGCCAGAATAAGCATTGCTCCCCATATCAAGTTTTATATGTTCTTGTGCAGAATTCCTTTATTTAAACAAGCCTGAACAATTGGCTTCCCTGAATGTATTGCACAAACTCTGTATTTACTGATTACAAAGCAGCACTGGATCAGAAGGAGACTCCCAGGATGCTCCATATGTGAGTGTGTCACATAGCTCGTTTATATTTATCAGCTTCTGTCTTCAAACTAGTGAGATTTTTACTTCGTTAATCACGTTGTGAGGTTGTTCCCAAACCTCGTGCCTCTGATGGCTAGAATTACATTTCTGATTTCCATCTTTATTTATAGCCAGTTGATTCATGTTGCCGCATAGGCAATACTAGAAATACAAGAATAAAAAAAATGACATTTAACAATCTGTCTAGACTGAGGACAAGGAACAAGTAAAAAATGCACATTCTTATTGTTAGCTAAGCTTAAGATGGTGCTTTTTGCTAACAGCAATTTGCATTTCAGGAGCTGGTGAGCAGCCTGTGAGGATGTCACTTTATGAAACCAACTGCTTCCCCATCAGCACAGTTCCATGCAATTCATAGCCCAGAGCAAACACATCCAAGGTATCTGGACCTGTATCTACTGAATGCTTGGTCTTTGAGGGGCTGGAAGCTGTTGGTGCAGCCTCCTTTGTTTGTGTGCTTGTAGGAATAGAGGTCAGCTCTTCTGCCCTGGATTGTACGGCAATAAAGTTCATGTTACAGCTAAATTCCTGATGCACAGAAACTATTGTATCCAGGAGACACTGTTCATCCCATCTCCTTGAAAGCCAAAAGACTACATCTGAAAGTATTTCATCTTTAGAAGAGTCTGCCTCCCACAAGAATACATCTATTTGGAGCTATGAAAAGGTAGTTATTTGTTAGTGTTTCCTAGCAATGGCATAAGTATCTAAAGGAAGAGCGCTGAAGAATTGTGTTCCACAAAGAGGTATCAAGAGGGTATCTCACCGCTCTCCTCTAGTGGAGGAAATGCAGTGTAAAACTGCACAGTGTTGCCAGCACTGAGCTGTAATCAAGCTTTCACCATCCGTGTGATTCAAGGTGTCTCCTGGTGCACGCACTTCCTGGGAATGGCTCAGGCTGCTCTACAAGCTAGAACAGCTCGCAGACTTGTGATGCCCAAGGGCTGGCAATGGCCTGGCAGTGGCTCATCAGGAGGGGAGGAAAACATCACCGTGTTCATGTTCCTTTTGTTCAGATGCTGCACCAGCAGAGTGGTTTCTGCTGTGCATGATCTCCACGGTGTGTGATCTTTACATGGAAATGATGCTCCTTGTGCTGCTCATGGGTCCTTTCCAAGTCCTGTGAAGCACAAAGTCTGGAGGTGGCTGCTGCAGCACACAGGGGTGTAGGAAACCTGATTTTCTCCGAGCCAATGCAGATAGGCTTGTCCTTCTGCCTGGATTGCCTTGCAGCATCACTTGCTTGAAACCTTTAATGTTTTGCCCTCCGTCGATTGCCAGGAAGCTACCCATGTGCAGCTGTTGCATTTGTCACAGGCACAGGCCCTGTGTCTCCTCTTGGCTTGGAGGAGGCAGGGAGCACAGTGGGGGCTGAGCACAGAGCCAGCTCCTGGCCACTACCTCCTGCAGGGCCTGGGGTGTCCCATATGGCTGAGAGTTGTTCTCCATCACCACAAGCACTGTGCTCACCTGGCTCACAGGCAGTAGTCCCGAAGCTGGCGCGCTGTTGTTGGCAAGGCTCCACCATCTCACACTTGCTGCATTTTTTTTCCCTTGGCACATATACGTATCTGTAATATGGCATATGCTTCTTTTTTTCATTTGATAACAAGAGACATCAGAAGTAGTATATTGATTTATTGCCTACAGAATATGGCTGCAAGATCCCACTGAATCTACTAAGTCCATAGCTCCAGCCCCTTCATGAATTGCAAATGGAGAAGGCTGGGGATTCTCAGCGTCCCCCATCTCCAGCCACAGAGTTAATGCAATAATTTGTGTCACATCTGGAAGGCAGCACCACCTCTGCCAGAGCCTGTACCCACAGAAAAAAAAAAAAAGAAAAGAAAAGAAAAAAAAAAATTGGGGAAAAGCAAAGAAAACTTAGGGCTGAAAGAGAAGTGAAATGGGGGGAGATGGAAAGACTGCAGCCTGGCAGAAAGAGCAGTGTGTTCATATGCAGTTGCTGACTGCATCTTACAGAAGAGGTTTGGGCCTCTGTTTCTTCAGCCAGGATCAGCTGGGCTCTATGGGCTTTGTACTGCTTAGTGGTGCTGGAAGTCGGAGTTCTTTGCAGTGCCCTCAGCCGGATTGCAGCTCGTCTCTGCAGCACAGCTCTGACCTGTCCCTGCCAGCTCAGCCCACAGCAGTGCTCCCTCCGGTCGGGACCTCACAGTGTTTCAGCAGCAGTTGAGGAATTCTGCTTTCATACTCTGCTCTCAGCTCCTTTATTGCTTTAACAGACTTTAAGTAATCAGCCTGAAATTTTCTCCAAAACATATTCCAGCTGCTCAAAAAAAAAAAGGGGGAACAGAGGGTAAAATTTCTTCATATTCCTCATTTGAAAAGAAAGGCAACGGTGTGTTTTGCTGTGAAAAGTCCAGATTTCAAATCCTGATGTGAGCTTCAATTTGTGTTGGGGTGCAGCTGCACTGGACGTGAAAGCACTTAGCAAGGGGGGAATCCTTCTTTTGGGGGTGACTTCCAACTGGAAATGCTTGGAAATGGTGGAACAGCTGCCATTGCTTCCTCAGGAAGCTGAGCACATCGGTTGTGAGCTGGTGAATTCAATATCATAGATCTTATTAAAAACACAGTCAGTGGATGGAGCTGACCAGAAATTGTTGCCTGCAGGAGCAGGCTGACAGCAGCAGGCAGAGCCCAACTGCTTAAGGGGACCCAGCCCGGCTGCTGGGCAGCGACTCGTATTATTTTGCTTTTGGATTACGGGACTCTTTAATTAAAGGTCTTGACTTTATAATCCAATCAATCTAGATAAATAACAACTCTCTTTTGCAGATAAAGTTGTCGGCTTATCGCTGCCCAACAGCCATATTTTAAAGACGAGCCGTAAAATTACCCAGCAAATCAGCTTACATCACATCTGGTGGCCGCAGCTGCGTGCAGGCAGAGCTCTGTGTGCTGACAGCCACATTTCAGTGCCACCCTGGGCACGTGTCCTACTTCACCACCAACTCACTGCTTCCTCAGCACTGTTACGCTCTGCTACTCGTCCCATTCATCCCTCAAACCCTCAGAGTTGTTGTAATTGTAAAGGGGAGGTTACAGTGCCGGAGGATGAAATGTAATGCAATTAGTAGAGTATTTTACCCATTTTTCACCTTTTCCTGCCAAATAGCTTTGTTCTAATGAAGGGTATCAAACAAGCATTTCATTGTGATTTAATTGAGCAGTTCCTTGTGACACGCAGACATCAATGAACAGTTATGGGAATGCTTTTTAGGGATCAGTGGAGAAGGCAGCATGCTGGATTAGCATACAAATCTGCAAGGGATGGATCGTGCCAGTCTCGCCTCAAATACCTGCTTGTCTGTAGGAGCATTGGTATGCCCTGCATCCCTCAGCCTGTATAAAATACAGGAGCAGCGCAGGTGATAACAGCCTTTCCCTCAGCTTTCTGAGACCCACAGTTACACAGGAGCAATAAGGACAGGAGCCACATTGCTGAAACACTGAAGCTATTTGCCCACTGTAATGCAGAGAGCTTGGGACTGACCCCAGCCCTCATTTTCACTCTTGCTTATGAGCAGCCCTTTTGCCACACCTTGGGAAATTGCATCTCAGTACAGTTTTGTGATGGCGTTGGCAGAGATGGAAGCAGGGGTGAGTCGGGCAGCCACTAGGGCTGAGGATGAAGCTCTGCAGGGTATTGGCAGAGCTGAGACAAAATGCCTGTACAGACCCATGTGGGCTAAACTTGCCCCTGGATAGCACTGCTGTCTCATTTCCTGGAATGTATTACCTAGGCTTAGCTGACAAAAATAAACAGAGGGGAAAA